GAAAAATTGTGCTCTCTCTATATGATAAGAATTATACTGCATTCTGCTGCCATATATAAATAAAAAAATTACATAAAAATAAAATTAAAATATATACCAAATGTAAAAAAAAAAAGAAAATGATGCTTTCAATCATCATGTGAAGAGGTGCTCAAAGATATGTAGTTAAAAAGAAAAATATATTACAAAAACTAATGAAAAATTTAAAGTAACAAGTATTACAGAGGCATTAGACAGTTAAGTAGTAAAACTTATTATCTAATAGTTTGTTTTTCTAGCATTCATGAATAGTGAAGAATTTTTAATTGTGATTTATTTTCATTTTAAGTAAATATTCATGTCAAACCAAATTTTATCTTTTCTCTCAATGATTCACCCCTAATTGTATAAGCTTCAGATCCTACACTTTGCTACYGGTGTTTAATCTGAAACATGTTACCAAATAAATATGCTTGGGGGTGAAGAGGCAAGGAATGGGCTTTATACCTGCTAATTGGGCTGGGGACAAGCGTTTGCATTTCTGGGAGCCTCTCCTGGGGTCAAGTGAACTGGCAGAATCCCTCCACCTGTGTCATTAGCAGCCTTCCCTTCGGCAAGAGCTTTTACTCAATAAACAAATGAAATTTGAAATGTAACCCAAAATTTTGTCTTGCTTTCTGTGCTGCCTGACTAGGAGTTAGGATATATATTACTTATAATGTCAAGAAATGTTACTTCAAATTGCCTGAATCTAGGTGGTCCTTGAAATAGTTTAATTGAAAGGTTTGTGGTTCATGAGAAGTGCAAAAGTGAGTGACAGAGGGTTTGAGAAATAAGAAGTCTTGTTCCCACTGAATGAGCAATAGGCAAGGAACACTGTGGAGAGGGGATATCACTTTCTATTTCACAAGCAGCATGGTTCCTAGAATTAGCTCTTCCAGAGTCAGAAAAAGCTTGGGAAAGTAGTTTCAGTCATTAGAAAAACTTTAATATTGATTGAACCCTTCCCTTAAGGAGCTAAGCCATTTATTGGGAAGAAAGGAAATATATAATAAGGATACAATTTTAAGTTGAACCTTGTGAAATGGTCTTTTTATTATAGGTCAATAATGATTATTTCATGTGATTGTCAATTCTATGTGGTTGACTTATCAGCAGTTTCGTATCACTCAACATAGATAACTATGGCAGTATTACTTTTCCTTTTGGTGGGCCAGTTTTTCATTATTCAGGACCAAATGTCAATTCGGTATGGTTAGTACCTCTGATACCTGGGTAATACTCTGAAGAAGTATGACCCAGTCATGTGATAACTTATCAAAGTCTTCCATACATTTTCACATACAGTTCGTGAGAGTTGGAGGGTCATAATGAGGAGCCATTTCTCATTTTAAAACCCTGGAAATTGTTTTAGAAATCAACGCAGGCTTGGTTGACTAAAAAAAATATCCTCATAGGTGTGGGACTTGAGCTAGAAGCTGAAGGGAGCGTACATTAAATTAGGTGGAGGGAATGTGAGAGTTCATTCCTCTCTCTACATTTGCAAAAATGAACTGAAGAGAATGGAATTGCTGGGTTCAGGTAGGAAGGAAAAGAAAATGGGAAAGAATGGTATACAATTTCAGTGAAGGGGGTTGAAGGTAGGAAGGGGAAGGAAGGTAAGCTATGAGGTGAAAGAATAAAATACAGAAATGTAGACGAAAGGTTAACCCATGCGGGTGGCTTCAGCGAACTCAGATCTTAGTCTGAAGGTAATGGCCCTTTATGGAAGACACAGAGAGTATTTTAGGAATACGTTCTGCATCCTATACTCCTCCTGCAATCRGTGTTCTGACAACTGAAAATCTGAACATAGAGAGGCTGGGACTGACTGTTGTGTGTGGAGAAGCACAGCCACTGTGGGGTAGCTATGCAGTTCTCCAAAGAAGTGGAAGATCAGCCCTGGTGATCTTAGAAAAATAGCAATACTGTTCCCGAGGAAGAATCATTTGCCTGTGAACATACTGTATTGATAATGCTTATGTGTTTCTGTGTGTGTGAGTGTGTGTGTGTGTGTATGTGTTTGTGTCTTAAACATCTTAGATTCTAAGAAAAAGCCTAGTAAAACTCAGGAAACAAGAATTTGTTCAGTTGTACTGAGTACTGTCTGGTCTATAGGATAGCACACACATCTGATTTTTCCTTCATAGACCCAAGCTCCAAGTTAACTAGGTATAACCATTTCACACAGCATTGCTTTCTGTGTGTTTGTAGGACTGCTTCTCAGGACTGTGGGTGAGAAGCCCATAGTATAACCCATATGAAAAGACTCCACCATTGTAATATTCTCGGTCTTTGAGAAGTCAATGAATGAGAGTAAAAACCATGCATATATRGCAAATTAATATTAAAAATAAATAATGCTACAGGTGATGAAAAGTGCAATTAAAATATAAAAGAGCTTAAGAGAGAGTAATGAATAGATGTTTGCCTTTTAGAGGGTGAGTTTGAAAATACTATAAAAWCTAGTTTCATATGGGGAATATTCATTTGTCTCATCACCGTGTCTTCTCAAGACTTTTAAATAAGAGGATCCACTTTAACACAAAATTACAAACTCCTCGAATCTTCACTAGCAGCTAGAAAAACATACTTACAGCCTGTAGTATACAGTTTAGCCTTTAGTTACATTTACCTTGCTTTGTTTTCTATTGTGTCAACAGTCAGCCTTTTGGGGCTCAAAATAGATCTTAAGCTTCTTGAAGGCAAGAACTCAGCCTTAAACTGAGTCCAGCACACAAAATGCACTTGTGAAGCAAAGGCTGATTTATGGACAGTAATGCAGGGGTCTTAATTTCAAATTGCAGCTCCGCCTTTGAGATGCTTTCCGCAACCCAGCGCGGCCGCCCACCGGGGGCACTATCTAGCTCCCCCCACCCTAAGCAGCCCTCCCTCGTGCTGTTCCCCCCTGAGGCCAGGAGGAGGCGCCACGGACTCGGGTTAAGCCTTTTCCCCCTTCCCACCCCACTTCCCCCAGCACATGACGTGGGAAGCTGCCTCCGCCAGAGTCTTAGCAATTGGAGTGAGGGGGTAAAGGGGTTTGGGGGTGGGGAGGGGTGGGGGGTGTGGAGAAAGAGGACACACGCTCGCACACACACCCTGAGAGCAGAAACATCTTCCCTAGCTTCCTGGGTTTCTCCTCCCACCAGAGCCCGTGTGTGAGAGGTAGGTAGGGGTGTGTGTGTGTGTGTGTGTGTGTGTGTGTGTGTGTGTGGCACGTTTCTGGGTGTGAGACCCAAATCCAGACCCGGCGACCTGTGCTGTCCCCGTGCTCCCCCCACCCCCAGTCGCCGGTGATTAATACCCATTTTTCTTATTCTCCCCCACCTCCCCCTCCTCCTCTTCCTCTCCCGCTGCCGTGCAGTTGACTTGCACAGCCTGCCCCCGCCCGCTTCCCCTCCCCCGGCTCCGATCAGCACCAACTGGAATCTGGGCTCCTGCCTCTCCCCCCCCCCCCCCCTTTTTTTTTTTTTTTTTTTTTTGAGAAAGGAAGGTCCCCCCACCCCCTTTCAAAAACCACTTCCTTCGGCTTCTTCACCTCTAGGAAATCTCGGGGCTTCACTCTATCGAAAGTGCTCGTCAGGGTGATTCTTGATCACCACGGTCCAGAAGTGCTGGCGTCCGAATGCATTTCCTTTTGCTTTGCAAAGAAGAGTCGTGAACTTCAAAACCCCCGAGACGGATCATTAATCCTGCTTTGCAGGAAAGGAAAACCCTCAATCCCCCGCCACCGGCCACCCTCTTCGGAGACTGCAATCGCMGAGGCACTCATAGCTGGTACGTAAATACTCGCTTTGGAGTCTCTCGTCTCAATTTTGGGGTTTAGGGGTGCCAGGCAGATAAAGGGTTGAAGCAGTGGAACCGTTAACCAACCTGGTATTAGGTAAAGCTCTTAAATCCAGCAGAATCCGGCACTTGCTAATTTGGACGTGGCTTTTTAAAAGGATTTTTTTTGGGGGGAAGGAGAAGGGGCAGGGCTGGCCTTGGTCTTTCTGAGGGGGTTAATCCCCTCACCTAGCAGATAGGCTGGGCAGCGGTGCCCGGGGCCGGAGCCACGCGCCGCGACCATCCGTCCAATCGACACGTTGCAGGTGAAGCCCAGTGCGCTGCACATCAGCGCGGCGGCGGCGTGAGTGTGCGCGGGGGTGAGTGTGCGCGGGGGTGAGTGTGAGTGAACGTGGGGGCGCGTGCGCGTCGGGGGCGTGTGTGCGCGCGTGTCAGTGTGCCCCTTCCAAGAAATGCCCAGTGTGCACCCGGTGCACAATCAGACCCATTCAGCACAAGCCCGGGGTGGGAGGAGGCGCTGCTGCTAGAGACGATGGGGAGAGCGAGACAAACATGTCAGCAGCAATGCAGATGGGGCTGGGGGCCGCACTTGCTGGCGAGTTAAGTGGGGATTGTGTTTCTGCATGTGTGTGTGTTGCTGTATCGTGCCTCTGCTCCCTCCCTTCTTCCTTCCTTTCCACTTGCCTCCTTCACTCGCTCCCTCCCTCTCTCTTCCATTCAGGTTGGCTTTCCCACCTCTCATCCATGCCTGTCCCAGGAATGGTATAGCCAGACCTTTTCTGAATTATTTATAGACCGGTGCCAGCTGTTTTCAATTCCTCTCGTGTGCACTCTGTGGGAAATGCGGGGTTTCCTCCCCCTTTCCCATATAACGAATTGATATCTTTTTCGGAATGCATTTTTCTCACCCTCCGGGGGACTCTCAAATCAACCCCTGACCGCCTCTTTTTCCCCCCTTAGGAAGGGGACGCTTTGGGAATGACCATGCTCCACGGAGGAACGGAGCCGGCCCCCAGCTTCTCCACACAGATCCTCCTCCACTAAAGCTCCAAAAATCAAAAACCATAATTGCCAGAAGAATCCTTAAAAATATATTCCAGCCACTAACCTCACATGCAAACGGAATAATTACTCTGGATTCTGCATTGTGAGCTGCTCTCCATACCCTGAAATACCTTTGAATTAAATCTTTTTTCTTTGAATTTGCATCTCTTCAAGACACAAGATTAAAACAAAATTTACGCTAAATTGGATTTTAAATTATCTTCTGTTCATTATCCTTCGTCTTTCTTATGTGGATATGCAAGCAAGAAGAGGAGACTGGACATTCCCAACATGCTCACTCCCTTAATCTGTCCGTCTAGAGGTTTGGCTTCTACAAACCAAGGTAGGGCAAATTTTATTTTATTTTTTCCTCACCTGGGGTAGGGATTCCTTGCTTTATCTGTCTCTCAAGTGGATCTTTTTGGAAGAAAAGATAAGGAGATACCAAAATAATGCTGTTTGGGAAAAAAGGCTTATCACAAAGAGGGAAATCTCCCTTGTTATACCCTTTCTTTCTCTCATCAAACAGGTTTTGGGTTTTGGGGGGCATTGGGAGTGGATATATGTAGGCACAGAATATGTTGGAAGACATACGATATGTATGTGTGTGTGTGTGTATATATATATGTACACACACACACACACAGACACACACAGGCAGCCGGGAGACCTGTGTGATTTTCTAGTTAAATCATTTTATTCATCCAGAGCTAAGCTATGATTTTTAATGGGAATCTAGAATTTTTTTTTCCCCAAGCTGGCTTTACCCCCTTGCCATCTTCATGCCTTTCTCCCTATCTCCTGTCTCTACCTTTCTAGGCATCTCTTTTGGTACCTTTTAAAAATTAAAAATAATGACTGAGATTACTGTGATTGTTGCCCTGGAGTCCACTTGCTGTCTAAAGGTTGACACTGGGCCCAGAGATCCCGGGAGGCCTATTGCAGAGGGGCAGGTCTAGATGGGGAATCGGGCGGGTCTAAGAACACCTGGAATTGAAGGATGCTGCAGATTAAGAGGACTTCAATATTCTGAGCATGGAAAGAAGTCAATATTCTGCTTTTAATTTATATTTTTTGTGTGCTATTATTTTTGAGCTGTAAATTTCTCCTTCTGTCTACACATCTATTTATACCCACACATCCTCCAAGCAAACTGTTACTTCCACACTCTTGCAAAATGGCTATCTTGCAGAGTTCTAAAATGCTGTGCATGTGGAAGGGGTGCAGAATTCGACACGTGAGTCTTTGTGTTAAACAAAGAGATGTGCTGTTTGCATGTGTTAGTCTTGTGCCCTCAAAAAATAGAATTAATACTTTAATTTTTTCCCCTTTGATCAATTTTTACAACATGTGAAATGTGGTTAGGCAATATTTTAATGAACTTGAAAACAGAAATAGCAGGAGAAATGGAAAAGACTTAGCTAATGACTCTTCTGCTAGTCACTCAGGCAATCCAAGACAACTCCTGAGAAAATCAGATCATTCATGGGCTGGAGGGCCATCATGATGAACAGGCTGCTCCTCTTGCTCCACTGACCATACATCCCCAAACCATGAAGGCATCTGAATGGAGTAATTAAAATGGGATAAAAGTCTTCAAAAATATGTAGCAGAATCATCAGCATCAATAGTCTTCCTAAAAGTATTCTTTCTTCCCACAAATCTTTTTTTTCTGGCATTTAAAAAAAAATAACAATCCTTTGAAAACAATCCCAAAATACTAATGGGATGTGGGGGAAAGTAGCAGAAGGTCCTGTTACTCAAGATGATCATAGATGATAGTTCTTTATTGTCCAGAAGGGATGGAAATAATCCAAATTTACTGTTCCTCTTCCTGAGGTTTCCAGGGTTTTTTTTTTTTTTTTTTGAGCTTTTATTGCTGAAACGCTAATCTGTAACCATGGTGTAATCAGAGTAAGAGGGTGGGATCCCAATTTGAACCATGTTGTCACCATGTCTACAAATAGCTGAGGTTATCTGGTGTGTGCTCACCTTAGAGACACCTGAGCTGGTTCCCCATCTGCTTCTATTCCCTCAAGTGGGAGGATGAACTCTTAATTTTACTTCAAAATAGAACAGAGGTATGGGTGAGAAAGGCAGTTCCATGTGCAATGATTTCATACAAATGGACGGACAAAGAGAGGTGGTATCCATAGGGCAGGCACATGGTTCCTTTTGCATCCCTGGTGCATATGACAGCACTTTACAGTGAGTAGGTCCTTCAGAATGTTCCTTGGTGATGAGGCCTTTTGACAGCCACCTCATTTGTCTTGAATGCTAATGGGATCAAGCCAAGTTGCAGGCTGTCCTTAGTTGGCCCAAAGACTAGGTGAAGGAGAGTAGGTTAAAAGGGGAGAGTGCTGAGAAAGATAAGGAAAAGGGGGTGAGAAAGGTGTAAAGAGAAAGGAAAGGTGATCCAACTGGAAAGGACTCCTTAGGATTCAAGGAGGAATTGCCACAGGTGGTCTGTACCTTTTTGACATCCAAAGCCTATTTGGAGACCTGGTGTGGAGGCAGGTGTTACCTATCTTTGTGGACAGTGTCCACGAAACTGTGACACAATGGTGTTCTGGGCCATCCTAGGGCCATTCTTCTCTCTCCCTTTTTCCCTCACAGCACAAAGAGCTGACTGGGTTCTATTTTGTCTTCTCTCCTTCTGCCACCCCCTGACAGTGTGGGTAACATGGGAAAGCAGTGTGGCTGCTGGTGGGTGGAAGAGCAGATTTAATTTCAATCAAGGAGTCTCCATGATGTGCAATTAAGAAAAAAAAAATAGGAAATAAAGACTTCCTAGGAAAACAGAGTAAAGAAGGTTAGAGTGGCGATTTCAAGGGAAGCAATTCCACATGGTGATCTTCTGTGTTTCAGGTGTGGTGGAGTATGACAGATCTGTGAACAGAAGGGTATGGCACTGTAGAGACAGATGCTAAATGCAAGGAGAGAAGCAGGGTGTGCTACGGAATTGTCTAATTTTTCTCTCCCATTGGCTCTAGCTTTAGGAAACCTGTCTGTTGGCAGAGTCTTGCTTTGCTGCTGGATGTGTGTAATTTTTGTCAGGGGTAATGCAGGCAGAGAGAATAAGGAAGGAGGAAAAATGTCAGGAAAAGAGGGGAAAGAGAAATATTCCTCTAGTCACTAGTTTGCACACCAGGTGCACTTTTTTAGGCTAATTGAGAAGAGCGACTTCTTCTGGAGGAAGGATGAAGAGCAGGAACCTTGCTTTTTTTGTTCCTGCTTTACCTCCAGAAAAAGGGCTTCAGAACCTTGACTTTCTTCCTTGACCTTCACATGCATGCATCCAGCCTTGCATGGGGAGAGGCAGTGACCACCTGAAAGAGAGACCTGGGAACTGAAATTGGTTGGTGGAACTAGTGGTGTTTGACGAGGAGACATAGGACTGAGCCGATCTAGCCTTGGGAACATCATTACCTTGTAAAATATTCTTTTAGTTCCTCCATAACTATGATGAACCCAGGGGACAGGATTTTTTGTTTTCTGTTTTTTTTTTCCTGTTCAAGAGTCAAATGAAGGTGACATATTCACTAGTATTAACAGGCTGCAAACACTTAGTTAAGGTTTATGGACTATGAAATAAAGGAGTCAGGCAAAAACACAGGTTGTCTGTGAGGAAACCGGAGCCCCAAACCAGCATATAGAAGCCAGAGAAGGGAAGGAAGCCAGGGTGGGCTTCACTGTTGTACAGGTTGGAAAACTGTTGTCATGAATGGTGTTCCTCTGTCTTCAACAGTCAAGACTGGGACTTGCAGCACTGCTCAGCTCTGGCATCTTGATGGGGTCAGGAGTGGATCAGCTAGAAGATTTAAGCTTTTCCTTTTCCTGAGTGTCATTCTATACCCTCTTTAAGAATTCTAGAAACTTCTTCTTTTGAATAAAGTACATTTTTTTTCCTCTGTTACTGTACACATGATTGGATACTAGTATAGTCTTTCTCTATAAATAAATATAGATCAAGAGAGTTACTGGTCTAATGAATTGTTCACATTTATTAAAGTGCATCTCCTCTTTGCAACCACAAGAAGAAGTCTCCGGGGAGAGTAGATTAGTGGTTGAATTGATATTATTTTCCAGAGGGAGGCTGAAGATGGAAGAACAGAATCTAGTCAGTAGAGGGAGCACACATAACTCAGAGAAGGTGGGTTTTTGAGGTCCACTTGTGGCTGTTAATTGTCTGCCTGTGGCCATTACACAAAATCCATTGAGTGGATGAACTTTGGGGATTTTTTGAACCAGAGAGGTGTGTTCAAGGACCAGTGGTTGTTTTCTGGATGTTCTCCCATTACTTGATTTTTCTCTTTTTGCTCCACCCCGGAGGTTGGCGGAGAAGGGACCTACTGCATGTGTTGTCCCCTTGTCAGAATTCTCCATGACTGCCCCAAATAGTGGGATGGCTTTGCCTTTCCTGTTTTCTCAGCATGTATTCATGTTTTTTCATTATTTTTCTCCTAATTTTGTTCATATGTATCCCAAAGAAGTTTGTGAGCTTCTGAACGGTGGGAGAGATGTTTTATCATCTTATAATTATTTCTTCTTGGCGTAGTGATGGCACATAATAGGTACTCAGAAAATACGAAGTGAATGAACAGAGAAAGTGCAGTATTTGTTAGCCAGTGATGCTGTCCATCGTTTGTCCTGGTGGCTGTAGGAAGTGTTGAAGTTATACTGTAAGACGTGACTGAGAATATGGAGCTCTGTGACACTTTAGAAGGCATCTGCTCTGACCTCCACTTACTAGATGAAGAAGCTTAAATCCAGGGGCAGTAGGTGATTTGTCCAAGATTGTGTAGTCCTGAGTACTGGTGCTTTGTGGAACATACCATCAGGTTAGAATGAGATGTGGAGGTGGTTATCTGTGGATTTAAAATGTCTACATCAGTGCACCTCAAACTTTGTTGCATGTAAGAGTCACCTGGGGATCTTGTTAAAATGCACATTCTGATTCACTAGCTCTGGGGTGGGATGTAACATTCTGCATTTCTAACAAGCTCCCAGGTAATACTAGAGTTGCTGTACCATGCATCACCATCTACACCATCCCTGCACTTAATTATCTGTCATGGTTAACATTGGCAGTGTCACATAGGTTGTACTTTTGGGACTCCCAACACCTCTGCTTTGTTCTTATATAAAAAAATAAAATCAAAAAGGAACCTATGTATTTAAGCTTACCCATCTCCTCTCTTTTTTATTCTTCCACTTTATATATCTTTGGCCTCTTCTCTTTTCACCATCTGTGCTCTTATTCTGGTCTTTCTCATAGCTGACTCTTTTCCTTCTATTTTTCTTTTTATGTTCTCCTGCTTCTTACTTCACCTCTTTATTAAT